TTAACGAGATTATTGCTTGCTCCTTGTGCTAACCGTCGTTCAATAGTAAATATTGGACTGACCCGATATTTTCGTTTTCTTCTATTAATAGTTTTTTTCTCACTTTTTCTTAATATAGAATAAAGCTCATATGTTTTAATAATTTTATGATATATTTCCTGCTTGATGAAAGCATTATGGTTATGGTCTAGACGTTTTGTTAATAATAATAGTAAAAACAATATTGTTTTTGATTTCATTCTACACTTGTTAAACCATTGCGAATTTTTTAATTTAATAAATAATAATAAGGCTCTGTAAGTATAAAACAAAATAGAATAATTGAAGAGCTAAGAGCCAGTTATGTAATAAAGAACATTTAAAAAAGATAATTAAAATAATCATGATTATAACGCTTCATTTCAACGGCATATATAAAAAAAAATAAATAATAAAAGACTCTGTAAGTATAAAACAAAATGAAATGTTATAATCATGATTATTTTAATTATCTTTATGTTTTAAATTAAACGTTCTTTATTACATAACTGACTCTTAGCCCTTCAATTGTTATATTTTTTAAAAAATTTAATAATATTAAACAAATTAATATTTAATAAAATTTACTTACACAATATGGTTATACTTTTTGCGGCTATCCTCTTTCTTCTGCGGTCTCTCAGTAATTCGCCCGCAAAAGTCAGTTTTGTTCCGCTGTTTTCGATACGCGATAATTTCGTTCCTATGGTCCCATGAAGCGGAATTAACGTAAACGGATCGGCGGTTTACCAATCATACAACTGTTTAGATGAAGGCAAATAAAGAAAAGTAACGAAACTCGTTTTATGATTGACTATCCGCCTGATCCGTTTACGCGAATTCCGCTCCATGGGACCATAGGAACGAAACTTTTGCGCATCAAAAACAGCGGAACGTCCGCGATTGGTCAGATTTCCGATACGCGCGATCCGCGATACGCGTGATACGCTCCATGGGACTGCACCCTAACATACTCCTATTTCCTCCAACTGTAGCTCCTACTCACTCAAACGCGCTCGTTAGAGTGAGTAGGAGCTATGGTAGGAACATGTTGAAGAATATGGAGTATGTTACGCGAACAAACCTTATGTCTTTGGTGACAAGTGACAATCAGGATAATCAATGATGATAACTACACTGACCCCTTTTACACGAGCACTTAATACGCGTATTAACTAGTAATTTTGTATTAAATTATTTCAATTTCAGCAATGTATTTGAAGAATAATGTAATAAAATAATAAAATATGTATCGAAATAATTAATTAAATAAATATATCATATATATGTTTACATATAACTCTAAAATTAAGATAATTCAATGGAAAGTTACTGGTGAAGGCCGCGACACAGACTTTTGCGTAATGCATAAGGCATAGTGCATAAGCGAATCAACCAATCAGAGTCTCTTATTTTCATCCCCACTTCCCGTTCTGTAGATCTTGCATAGCGCATAAAGCATAAAGCGGGATTTACAATAGAAGTCGTAGCAGTCGTAGAGTCTTAAGTCGTAGAAAATTAACCAATCACAGTAGAATATGAGAAGAATAATTGACTATAATTGGTCAATTTTCTACGA